GAACTTGGTATGGAGTTGTGTATACAAAATGTATCAATTGCTCATGGAAAAAATGTGAGTTATTAAAAAAGGAGGCATGTCGCCTTCTTCTTAATACATATCTCTGGAAGGATAGAAAATCTCTCAAAGCCTTTTAAATTTGTTATGGAGATTTATTTAAAGTGCCGTACTGACTGAATAAATTTCATTAAATGGAAAAGGGAGAGCCGGGTTCGACCTTATAATCTAAAGCTCTCTTGAGGCATTTGCTACAGTAATGAGAAGTGGTATTTTATCAAGGCCAGGTTACTAAATTTGGGTTGGAAATATTAGAACCCGCCGTGGCGCCTCCAAGAAGGTTATACGTTCACGCGTCGTATACCTGGAACCATTTTAAGGTAAACTTAGAGGGATTGATATCTTTCGTATGCCTAGCGCGCAGACGATATTTTATAATTTCATAGTTTTAAACGGCCTAAATACCTTAACTCGCTTTAAAAATAACGAGCTATAAGGAAATGGGCACAGAAATAAAATCTAACATCATTAAATTATTTTTCATATTTGTATAAAAGCGCGGGGTGAAACCCGCGGGTATAAGCTAGTAAGGCCATAAAATAACAAAAACAAATAACTTAAGGACGAGCACACCTAAAAGTTTAACATTCTAATAAAAGAAATATTAACAAAAACCAACAACCACATGATCAAGTGAATTGCAGCGGGATAGCTGCGCTTGATTGTAGCTGGCTTAACAGGTGAAATAGTGGAAATAAGCAACAATAATTAACAAGTCAGTGGGCTCGTCGGTTGGAATCCTACTGAAAGAAGTCTGATGAGGAAATGTGGTGATTTCCGAAATAGCTATCACTTCTACCATTTTTTCAAATTAGTGTTGCTTTTCCACAATAAGTTTTCATTAAAAAACGGTCTTAAGCTCAATAAAAATTGTTGAAAACAAAATATCAAAGTGAAACACAGGTGCTTCGTGTATGCAAACATACACACACAAATACATTTGTATGTACAATACACAACTTACGTATAAGCACACATTCATATAATTAAATACAGTGACACAAACTCGTGCTGTGATCTCAATTTATAATCTCACACTGAAACAACGTACAGTGGCTTTCTACTTTACAAAAAAAAGAAGGTTCGTCTCTGAAATATTTAGAGGTATGCAACAAAATAAAAGCTGAAAATAACAATTACTTGCATATTATCCCTATGCTCCAAGTTTTAGCAAATCTGTTTAGAATAATCGAGTGGTAGCCGGGTTTTAAATAAGACACCTTCTCCTTCTTGCTTCTTTTATTCTTTTCTTTTCACAAGATGGTGTCTTAAAACTATACCTTAAGGTCTAGTTACACTGTTCGTGTACTAAAAATATGCTAAAGAGACTACTACACCAGGGATGAAAAATTAGGTACAATTGTACCTTTTTCCGACGTTTGATGACTTAAAGGTACATTAGGTACAGTCAGTAGATTTTAGGTAGAATTATTATTATTGACCCATATTCGCTTTTTGATTTATGGAAGTATATTTAAAATGCGTTCGAAGTTACTTACGGCAATTTGATTATTTTCTCTAGACTTGTTGCACCTATTAAAAGGAATCGGATAAATTAGCAGACTTTTCGTGTTGTTGCTGGATAAAGAAGAATACTTCGAAAGTGTGTTTTTTATCTTTTTCGCCAATATTTTTCAGTAGTCAAAATTAGACAAAAACAACGCTTCTCCGATTCCCATTAGACTATAGTCTATGGATATAGGCTCAGTTAAAAAAAAAAAACCAAATCATGTTTAAAGTACATCATCCTTTGTATTCATGTTTTAAATAAAATTGATAAAAAAAAAACTACAAATGAATGATGTAACTTTTTTTAGGTACAATCTGCCTCATTTAGGTACATTTATTTCATGATATTAGGTACAATCTGAAATTTCCATTTTTCATCCCTTTACTACACTATTACATTGATTTATTAATCTATTACTTAGGCTAGTCTATACAATGCTACTACAGCTCGGCCATCCTGATGAATAGAATCACCTGATTCTGCTCAGCACATATATACGTGAGCTTATAACGTAAAATTTCCTCTACGAAAAACCCTATCCTATCTTTTGGAACTCGCATTTTCATAATTGTACCACGGTTTCAGATTTGCGACTGACCAGACACCTTTGTATGGTATTTGTGTTTGCTGGAAACCCTCTACATCTTCCGCTACGTAGCGATCGTTGTCTAGAATTTTAGATACTTTATACGGCCCTTTGAACTTAGGGATTAGTTTGCTAGACGCTCCTGTCTGCGAGCTAATATTAGAGATTACTACATAATCCCCTAACTTAAAGTTGCACGGTTTTCTGCGTTTAACATCTGAGTACCCTTTATTATAAGTTTGTGCTTTACGTTATTCAGCTTCTGCTTGTTTTCTAAGATCTTCTATATTTTTGTGGTTCGGAGTTTGTAACAATTCTAACACATTTTCACTCACACTATTTATGACCTTTCCTTTCTGTCGGACCCCGAATAGCAATACACTGGGTTGCTCTTTGGTTGCTTTATGAACCGTATTATTCATAGCATGTTCTACTGACTCCAAGACACTTTCCCAGCCCACCTCTTTTTTAGCATCTAACATCTTAGCTATCATTGGACCTAAACTTTTATTGACAATTTCAGCCTGACCATTTGCTTGAGGTGAGCTTGTTGCTACTTTTATGTGTTCTACGTTATTATCTTCTAAGAAATTTTCGAACTCTCTCGACGTAAAACAAGTTCCTCGATCTGATACTATAGACCTCGGTCTGCTATACGCTCGCAAATAATCTCTTAGGGCTAAAACAGCTTCATTCGACGCTGTTGCCTTGGCCGGATACAAACGAACGAATTTCGTGAATGCATCAATTACTACCAACACATGCTTGTACTTTGTTCCCTTGCTATGGATCGGTCCGTAATGATCAATGTGCACCATTTCGAATGGTTTATTTCCCTTTGGAATCATATGTAACATTCCTTCTTTTTTACCGCTTTTATTTGAAAAGGCTATACGCTTCAAGCAGTTTTCGATATGAACGGTTGCCTTTTTCCTGACTTTCGGAAACCAATAACTTTTCCCTATAGTCTCTACGACCTTGTGTACTCCTAAGTGCCCCATTTCGTCGTGGTATTTATATAGAACATGTTGTTCCATGGACTCTGGTACATAGAAGAGTAAATCTTTATCTTTATTTTTATAAACTACCCCATTTCTCATTTCGAACTGGCTGCTCTCTTTAAACTCTAAGTCCTTTTTGATATTTTCTATGTGTTTATCTCTATTCTGACATATAATTAAATTTTCTTCAAACTTGTTTGTGTCAACCACCAAGACGTTATTTACTCTACTCAACGCGTCCACATGTTGCATCCTTTTACCCTCTCTATGTTGAAGTTCGTAATCATAATTTTGTAACTCTAGCGCCCACCTGGCAATTCTTGGGTTCATTTCTTTTTTATTTAGTGTCAGCGTCAGAGAATTGCAGTCAGTAACAATTTTAAATTTTATGCCTTGTAGGTACACTCCGAATCTCCTCAACGCGTATACTATCGCCAGTGTTTCTAGCTCGAAGCTGTGATACTTAGACTCTACATCCGTTGTACGTTTCTAGAAATAGAAAACTGGATGTAGCTTATTATCCTTTTTCTTCTGAAGCAGTATCGCCCCGAAGCCTAGTGAACTCGCATCGCAGTGGAGTTCTGTGGTATCACAAGGGTCGTATATTGCTAACACTGGGGAGGCTATTAACTTGGCTTTAAGTGTATCGAACGTTTCCATCTCTAGCTGACCGAATCGAAATTTTTCTTCTTTTTTCAAGAGGTCGTAAAGGGGTTTGGCTATGGTCGAAAAATCTTTAATGAACCTGCGAAAGTAGGAGCAGAGTCCTAAGAAACTTTGCACTTCATGCACTTTGGTTGGTACTGTAAAATTTTCGACTGCCTTCAAACCTTTTTTGTCAGCCCGTATCCCTTCGCCCGTGATCGCGTAACCTAAATATGAAATTTCTGCCGAGAAAAACTCGCACTTATCTAATCGCAACTCTAGTTTATTCTCAACCAGACACCGAAAAACTTTTCTCAAAATGGGAATATGTTCATCTACAGTTTCTGTCGCGATCATAATATCGTCTAGATACACAATTACTTCTCCGCTGCGTATAATTTCCGAGAATATCCTATTTATAAACTTTTGAAAAGTGGCGGGAGCGTTTCTTAGCCCAAAGGGCATTCTTAAGAACTCAAATTTCCCTAGTGGCGTTGTAAACGAGGTGTATTTTACTGACTCTTCTTCAACAAACACATGAAAAAATCCATTTTTCAGGTCTAACTTCGAGAAAAACTTTTTGTTTACTAACCGATCCAACAAGTCATCAATCAGTGGTATAGGGTAGTTATCCTTTGCCGTGACTTTATTAAGTTTCCTGTAATCGACGCACATTCGCAGTTCGCCCGTTTTCTTTTTTACCAAAACTATGGGTGAAACGAATTCTGAATTACTAGGGCGAATATACCCTTTTACTAAGTAGTCATCTAATACCTTTTGTAGCTCTGCCTTTTCGGTATACGAAAGTCTTCGTGGAGCGCAACTGATAACTTTTTTGTTTTCCAAAACTAGACTTATTTCCTATCTGACCCTAGGCTCTTTTGGTACTTTTGCACACAAATATCCTTCTCGGAACAACTCTTGAAAATATACTCAGTTTCGCTCATTTCAGGAATTTCTATTGCTAATATTTCGTTTATGGCTTCGTTAACTATTTTGCACGTAGAACTACCACTAACCACTTCTTCTTTATCTGCGTCACTAACCTTTGGCACAACCGCTCCTTTGTACGTTGAATTTTTACTGGCCACCTTTTCTTTGTTACAAACATCGAGTTTCGTTACACCGTTTACAAATTCTATATCTGCAGCTTCATCCATAAATTCTACATCACCGATTTTAAGCTTGGCTTCGCTCGCCTGAATAAAATTTCTGCCTAAAATAACTGAATAACTAATCAATTCGTCTGGAACTACTCTAAGTTCAATCAACACACTTTTATTGAGCACTTTGACGTAACAAAATATTTTCCCAAAAATTAATAGTTTTGACTTATTGAGACCATAGTATGAATTTCTTTCATCTTGTAGCTTCACTCTTCCCGGTACAAGGCTCTTCTTTACAAGACTTATTGGGCTCCCCGAATCTATAACCATATCAACATTAAGATTATCTACGATACTAATACTAAAATGACTTACAAAATTGCTACTGGACGTCGACTTCTTGTAGTTTTTGCAACTCGCCGCAAAATGTCCGTGTTCGCCGCATGCAAAGCACGTCCCGTATTCGCGCTTAGGCTTGCTTCACTCTTTTGCGACGTGGCCGGAGCAATTGCAGTTGTAGCACCTTAGCCGCTCTTGACCACTTTGTATATTTGTTTTTGGTGCGACTCGTCGCGGCAACTCGACAGTCCGGAATGCTCTGGTCACCTCACCAGCACTTTTAAAATTCTGAAGCTTGGCTTGTATCTGCAATTGTTTATTAGGAATGCCGTCTACGAGGTATTCAACAAATTCTTCCTCGCATAGGTTGAGCCCAGCGCTCAACAGCCGTTTCTCGTTAGCGTAGCTACCGAACTGCTCGCCAAACTTCCAAATTCGCCTTTCGAACTTTCTACGTGCATTCAGTATGTTATCCTTCTTTCCGAATACGACCTCCATATCTGCGAGGATTTCGCCAACAGTGCGCATGAACATCTTGTTAGAGTTGTACCACATTAGGGCTTCGCCTTTCATTTTGAGTCGTACGACTAAACTTAACGCTTCGTCGCTGACTTGCAAGACTCGCTGAAAATGAAGCAACTGAGACCGCCACATCTCAAAATCCTCGCTTCCATCATAGTCGGGCATTAGCTCTTTCATAGTCTCCAACCCAGGCTTAGCGTTGTCTGCTGCGACCCTCAATTTCGCTCCGCCCTGCTGTAGCTCTAATTTCAGTTTAAGCAACTCTATCTCTTTTTCTAGTAGACTTATTCTCGTGCCATCGAATTCGCGCGTGTTATCTGGGCCGCACCCTAGCTCGTTTGTCACGCTCACAATTTCTTGTGAAAATTCGCGCCGCTCTTCGCCGCTGCCTCTATTCGCACCATCGTTACCATACGCACCATCGTTGTTGTACGCACCATCGTTGTCATACGCACCATCGTTGTTATACGCACAATTGTTATTATTCACACCATCGTTATTCGCCCCGTTGCTATCATTCGTAAAATCGCCATCATCGTCGTTATTCGCTCCATCGTTGCCACGCTCACCATCGCCGTTATTCGCACCTTTGTCACTGGTTGTTCCCCCGCCGTTATTCGCGTCGTTGCCGTTGGTTGGTCCATCGCCGTTATTTTTTTCTTTGGCTGTACCATCGCCTCCATCAACATTTGGTGGCACCGTTGCTTTGGCGCCGCGTTTTTCTGGCACACTATCACCTCCAGGCACGTCAACGGCTCCTGGACACAAGCCCCTTGCTTCTGCCGACAGCTCGCTAAGTCGTGCAGCCAGCGACGCTTTTGCTCCACTAGCGTTGAGGCCAACTGCCGCGCACCATGCCTTTAATTGAAGTAGCGAATACTTCTCCGCGTTAATTGTTTCCCGATTCATATTAAATTTCAAAAACTTTTACGTTGGAAGGGCTCACTGACCACTTCTGATGAAATGCGCAAGTTTAGAATAATCGAGTGGTAGCCGGGTTTTAAATAAAACACCTTCTCTTGTTCGCTGCTAAAATCGGAATGCTTCTTTCATTCTTTTCTTTTCACAAGATGGTGTCTTAAAACTATACCTTAAGGTCTAGTTACACTGTTCGTGTACTAAAAATATGCTAAAGAGACTACTACACTATTACATTGATTTACATGATTTATTAATCTATTACTTAGGCTAGTCTATACAATGTTACTACAATATAACTATATATACAAACATATTGTAAACTATCTCTACTAACATGTAATTACATTTTCCCAATAGCATATATATACATTTAATACATTATATATAATATATAATATAAATTGCTATTAAGATAAAGGCTAATTCGGAACGCTGTGGTGTAGTGGTAAGCAGTACATGCTTTCACTCATCAGCACCTGGGTTCAAGTCCTGGTCAAAGCAATATCGTAAAAAATATATTTCTTAACAGCGGTCGTCCCTCGGCAGGCAATGGCAAACCTCCGAGTGTATTTCTGCCATGAAAAACAACTTCTCATAAAAATACAGTCGGAGTCGGCGTAAAACTGTAGCTTTGTGTGACAACATTAAGGCGCACGCCACAAGTCGGAGGAGAAGCTCGGCCAAACACTAACATATATGTAAGCGCCAATCTATTATATTATTATTAATTCGGCATTACCTCCAATCAGCGTTGCCGTTTTGGTCCAATTGGACCAAAATTGGTAGGCTCATTATCCTTTGGTAGTTTGGTTGGTAGGATGAAGCTTTTGGTAGGCAAATGTTAAATTGCAACCAAATTGAGCAATAAAATATGTTTGCTTAAGATTGCATACTGCCAGTGCTATCTACTATTTATAGTAACTCTAAAATTATCTACGAATGGTAACCCTGTATTCATAGCAAGCAAAGGAAATAATAGCCGTCATCGAACGAACGAACTCAATGAGGTATAACCAAACTTGCTATCGTCTATCCGTGCTAGCTAACTTCGTTGTTGCTTTCACATGCAAGAGTCTTCTTTAAGTGACCGGAACTCAAACATAGCGAGCGAGAAGTGGCGAATCTATGACGGCTAATGACAAGAGAAAGAGTGAAAGAAAGATGTTAAATGTCAAAAACTTGGCATTTGCGCGCCTTTCTTCAATTGAATTTAACAAACAAGCGAAAAGATTAGTGATGGACAAGTAAGTTATTTTGCTTTGAATTAGATACTTTTTAATCGTTGTTTATTTGCAGGTATATCTATAAAGCTTCTAAACCATCCGAGGTAAGTGTGGACAATAATAGCGACGACTTGTTCAGGTAAAAAATTGCGACTAAGTAGGCATGTACAATGTGTCAATTAACAAATACTGAAAATTATCGTAGTGATGAAAACTCGCCTGCGCCCAAAAACCAAACTCTGAAATAAACCAAACATCAGTACAATAAATAGTATTATGCACTGTAAAGAACTAGTACAAAAGGCTGATGCACATTACGTGTGGTCAGCAAAAAGAGATCTCAAAGATGTATGATTTTTTCACAAACTTTTTGTATACAATTAGGGGTTATAAAAACTTTTTGGTTTTAAACGAATAAAATGCTTGAAATTGTATTGTCGAAGAAAAAAAAAACGTTTGAAATGAATTGAATTGATCTCAAAGATATATATACTCGGTACGTTTTTTTACAAACGTTTTGTGTACAATATTTTTGATACTTAGGTTGTTCACACTTGCTTGGTTATCAGGTTATCTGGTTAAATATTATTATTCTGCAGTGTATTTTATTGTTGTAAACTGAATAAAAAATATAACCACATAACCAGATAACCTGATAACCAAGCAAGTGTGAACAACCTAAATTTTATTTAAACGCATAAAATGTCTGAATTTGTTGTTTTATACATCAAAATGTTTGATATGAATTGATTTAATATCAAAACTATATACAATGCTTATAACTGTTTTTTATACGATACGTTAATTAATTTATTTAAACGCCCGAATTTATTTTGTGTAAACTCAAGTATTGCATGAATGGATAACCAACTGTAGCACAGTAAACCATATTATTTGGTATTTTAATTTATACCTACTGTTAATCTGCAAAACCTGTAAATTTAATAAAATCTCGTTTTATTGATAAACAATCTTTTGGTAGTTTGCAAACTGATTTGGTAGGCTTTTTGGTACCTTAAAATATTCTCAAGTGGCAACGCTGCCTCCAATAATTCTTGAAGAAAGAAGGCTATTGTGAAATATATATATATACATAGTTATACAGTGTAGTGCGGGTACAGTGAAACGGTCCACTTATATCCCTCAATAGTCCCACAAAAAATACAATAAAATAAAACAATTCTCCAGAGATTTTATCAGTAGCACATATCAAAGTGCAAACACCCTTTTATATATACGTGGCATTCGCAATTACGTAATTGACTTTCATTGCGTTAATTTAGCAAGAATTATTAAAAATATATATACATACAGTGGCGTAGCCAGGGGGGATATGGGGGGATAGATCCCCCCCCCTCGTCATTGAACTACAATTATTTACTTTTGAATTAATAACACAATACTATTTTATCCTTCTGATTTAAATTTTTTTTTATTTCAAACGGATGACAAATTATCTTTTAATGAATATATGAGTAGTCCACTTGCAAACAGCGTTATGTGATTTTATAAAAGTAAACCATAAATTAAAAAAAACGTCTACGACAACAAGTAACATCCGTATCTTTTTTTATTACCTGAAAATTTGGATAAATAAGAGCCTAATACCATTAAAAAAATAAAATTTCAGCATGGTAGATTTGCAAATTTTATATTTAAAAATTTAATATTGCCAGTTTTGAAACAGTACTTCTCCTCTAGGAAGATTGGTTTTCTTCTTTTTTGCGACCTCTTCCACTAGGCACCGAAACCAGAGAACTTAGATAGATAGAGAAGGTGCAAACTGAAAGTGGAAACTATTCGCGGACGAAAAATTAACAGCGTTAGAAAAGTTCAAGTCGGAATGTAGAAATTCTGTTGAATTTAATGTTGATAACATAATACAATCTTGAGCAACATGAAATGTGATGTTCTTTGCGAGCACATAAACGAAAATATGGTAAATCTTCACATAATTTTCATTAGTTTGTAGTTTTTGTTAAATTTTTTATCTTGTTCTCCTTTTATGAAGATGCAAATACAATTTAAAATAATGATAGTTTGGCATAAAGTTTACACACATATGTACATGCATACATAGACTGGCAATCAAAAGTGAGTGCATGGTGTTTTTTTACTTAATATTTGCAATGATTTTCAATTAAATTTTTTTTATTATCTTTTTATAAAAATGTGGTTCATGCTTTAATTAAAACTACATAAGTCAAACTTTCAAACTTTACACAGAACATAGAAAAATTCAACGAATTCTCGTCTAAATTTTGACCTGTTTAATCTGAGTTTTTAGAAAAATTTTGAGTACGCAGATAGATCGGTTTTTTAATTCTAGTGGAACAAGATCAAGTTTTAAGCGGCTAAAAAATCCGGTTGATTTTTAATGATTATTTATTGCTGACGGCTTTTTCCACTTTTTACCAAATAAAAGTGAATTTCTTGTAGAATAAAATGCGCATGACCGTTTGCAAACAAATAAAAAAAAATTAGCGCTATTTTTTACAAATTGCACTTGCTATATGCATAAAACCGCAATTCCCGTCGAAAATAACATAAAAGTTTAACTTAAAAACATTGCAAATATTAAACAAAAAACAGGATGCACTCACTTTGCCAGTGTACATACATATTTGTGTTTAAAATTAACTACTTATGAAATAATTTTTGTGGCACGAACATATACATACTTGCGCTTTCTAAAAATGGGAATAAAAATTGGATTCGCATAAAATTTTAATTCCAATAACTAATATTTTAGTGAAAACATTTACAATAAAGCTTTCAGTAACTTTTGGCAAATTTGAGCGATTATGTGAAATTATGCATGCGTTTGTACCTACATATCCATTTATATTATTTTAAATAAAGCGAATAGTAAAATTTAAAATAGAATATGGATATGACAATTAAAAAAAAAATAAAATTTATTACTTGGTCCGTCCGGGATTTGAACCAAGACAAACGGCGAGACGCCAAAAAGTCGCATCGCCTCTAGCATACGCGCCACAATACATCATCCAAATTCCAATCTCTAAATCACTACATATATGAAATTCTTCATATATTCAAAAAGACAAACGAATAAATATGTATGCATGAATAAATGTAAATATGTGCATCCATATGTACGATTGTACTGCTTTCGTCTTCCCCTCGCCGTCCCAAAACCACACACAAATTATTAAATTTCTGCGAATTGCCACGACGCCATCAAAATTAACCCCTGGTTGCCGAAATATTTAGGTTTTCGCATAAGTTTACATTTAATAAAGCCATACTCGTACATTTTATATGGAGAATAATATTAATTAATTTAAAATTCTGCATGTAACCATGTTCTCGAAGATACATGTAACTTTCATCAAGATTAACCATAAAAATTGTGCTTCATTAACAGTTGGAACCAGCTGAAACCAAAAAAACTATGTCCGCTAAAATGGGTTAAAAACCAACTGGAATTGACATTTTTTACACGCATTCATGCATACATTCATATACAAATGTACAGTGGAGTAGCACTAGCTTGGACATTGCATTGCTTGTACTTTGATGTGTTTGAATCTTTTATGGTACTAAAGATTTGCTTACTGATGAAAAATATTAAAAATCGTCCGTGCATATATGTAAATATACTTTTATAAACGCTTTGAAGTATATAAATTTTTAATATTAAAAAATAAATAAAATAATTTTTTTGTATATATGTAAATGGTGTTCAAGGCACATTGACCCACCTGTACAAAAATCGTGGCGCGTCATGGACGAGCTAAG